GAAAGTACACGGTTAATAGTAACCGTGAATATTCAGAATAACATTTTACTTAACTTAATTAAAATACAACGTAGAATTAATTGAATAACCTATTGGCTATGCACTATATCCTATACATGCAGTGGTGGATTCTGCGGGAGGTAGAGTGGTGGCCGCCCCTTCCACCTGTAATCTGTGTTTTATTTAGGAAAAATACTTAGTAAAAAAAAATCATGACAAATTTTAAGTTATTTGTGTAGTAGGTACATGGTTAGGATAGCTAATACAGCTAGGATTTTAATTAGGGGTACAGTTGATAACTTTTTTTTTTTGCTTTTTCCATTTTATAGTAAAATTTACACGTGTATAAGTTACTTTTAATATTCGCCCCTCCCTCGTTATCTCAAGCTGGATCCGCCACTGCCTACATGGCTACACATAGAACTTTAACTTACAAAATACTCTGGTCTCTGATGCTTTTTGAAAGAGACTTTGTAAAATAATTGAGTAATAGTAGCTATTTTGTATTTATTGTTAACAGTCACTCGAATACATTTTAAATACTAGCAGTTAGCACCCAATAAACAGACCAACAATATATCTAATGGAAAACGGAGTTCGTGTGTTGGTGTCCACGGTGTACAAAGAACTGTCGTTGACAAGCTACCACGGTGGTTGACCATGACATAAGAGTCTCTTAATGGCTTGAACAGTGAATACATTTGTGGGAACGTTTAGTGAATCCATTTCATTATTAGACTAGCTAGTATACATATACGCAATCGGCCCAGGTCGTGGCAAACAATATGCGCATTAATAAACTGCGCGTCGCAGATTAGTGCTGTTACGAGCGTGTTTGCCGACCGCTTAGGCTTTCAAGCGCTCTTGTTGGACAGCCCCGAAAAGCGGTTTATCCGGGGTCCCCGTGGTAAATGTCCAAGGCCGCGTTAAGTGTAGCGTGCAGCCGCAGTTTGCATCAGAACCTGTATTTCCGTCAATCGTGGGCGTTGCCCAACCTAACGAATGACCTACCCCGAACAACGTTATCTTTGGACATTAAAGATAGGTATACCTATCTCTAATCTTACTCTGGCCGACCTGTTATCACATCACCGGTCGATGTATTATTAGGTGGCGATACATACGCTTCAATAATGGACGGTCGAATAATTCCAGTGGATAAAGCTTTAACTTTGATTGGGTCCTGTACCTACTACTATAATTGATCCGGCGATGTCCGACCGAGAAGCCCACCATGTCAATCGCTGCCAGTCGCTATGACTGTCTCCATTGAAAGATTACCCAGCCGATAATTTTGGATACTATAAGTTAGCTACTTTACTGCATGATAAAATAATTTATAATTGTTCAAAATTTCGAAATTTCTCCATTTTAATATGACAAATCCACAAACTATATATGTTGTAATATCATTAATAGGCCCATTCTTACGATGTCCGGTAAAGTGTCAGTTAGCTCTAACCGGCGGTTAGTCTAATATTTTATTTTTATTTTATTATATTTTTATACATTTTAAATTAATAATTATTAAATATTCTTCCTCCAAAAAAAATAATTTTTATTTATTTAGATATAGGTAATAGTACCTAAGTACTACTACAAAGCATTAAGCAATTGTAACATTTTTTTTGTTTTTCTACAAATCTTACGTGGCCGAGGGTCGCGAAAAATGCAGGCCTTAAAAATTGAGCCGCGAGTTCAAAAAAGTTAAAGAACATTGCCTCAGATCATATACATATATCATTATGATCTAAGGGTCATACTTTATTATCAAAACATTCAAAACAGACACGTTTATTGTTTATTTCTATATATTGTTCGTGTTTTTCGTTATGATTATTGCTGATAATTTTGCGTTTCGAATTTTCATCTTTTGAAAATAAATTCTAAATTGTGTATATATTATATTGTATTTTGTTTTCTACTATACAAATGAATAAATGATACAATAGATACAAGCATTGATTTTTTTTTATTATAAAATTAATGATACAGGCTTATTATCATTTATCAATGATAAGCTTTATACTACTATCATTTCCCGCTTAATTTAATGTTTATCTTTATTATAGTTTTGTTTCCTTGCAAGATATAAGTAGCAAAATGCAAATAAAATAAAACCATTGTTCTTTTATCATTTAATTCGTATTATATTATGTGCTAAAACTGTAAATTAGAATATTTTTATTTTTATAGTAAGACCATTAGTAAAATCCTTCTGTTGTCAGGTATATTGAAATTTTATTATAATTATTGGTTTTTATTATTAATTACTATAATTTTATGCCTGTAACCTATCAAATTTTAAGTACTTATTTCTCATTTTTTATCAAGCATAGGCGCTGACTGTGGTATTCAAACACCCCTTAACACATTTCATATGGTTCAGAAATTAATGAAACAAATAATATTTAGTATGACAATATATTTTGAAGAATTTGATAACCTGTTGCTAATGTGTGTAATAGTATAAAACTATACACTGAAAAACGACCTTGTATTCCAACTTTAATTGCTTGTAACCCCAATCTTTCGATATTTGTAGGATTTTGTCATTTTAAATACTTCATAAAATTTGGAAAACTTAGTATCTATGGTGTCTTGCATCTGCGATTTTAGTTTATTAGTTAGTTTAAATATTTTGTTTATTCATATTTTTCTCAATATTAATACCATGTTTATCTATGCTATATTAGTGTGTGCATCATTACATTCATCTTAAAATTATATTAAGTTCAAAAAAATAATTTTAAATCTTAATAGTTGACACTATCTCTTATAAGGTTTATAATCATGTTTTTAAACATAATTTGATAAATTAAAAGATAGGTACCTATATTATTTTTTATACTAGTTATTATGTAATTAAGTACTATAAAATGTATTATATAAGCATTTTTTATTTCAGAATGAATAAAAAAGTGGACCAAAAAAATAAGCCATTAAGTACTTTACAAAAAAAACACAGACCGCTAAGTGTTTTTACACAAGATAATGTTCCAACTCGATCTGCTAGTAATTCAAATTTTGCAAACATTATGAATTCTCCAATTAATAATACACCAAAAAATGTGAATCATCGATCCAAAAGTAATTTAACAATGAAAGATAATAGTGCTGTTAGTCGACTCAAAAGTAATGTACAATTTTACTAAAAATAAATATAAATTTCAAGTACCTAGTTGTAATAATTCATATCATGTCATAGATTTTAGTTCCAATGTTACCTTAGAAAGAAATGGTAGTATGCCAAATTTAAATGCAACTGGTAATAGATTACAATTGGACAAAACTACCAAACTAAGGTTTGCATATGACAAATATCTCAGCAGCTTAGAAGCAAAATATGTGTTTCAGATGTTTGAAAAAAATATATCTTCAAATATTGATAAACAAAAAAAAGTTTTTAGAGATGAATTTGATATTCTCAAAAATCAATTAGTTACTTTGAGTAAAGAATTGGAATCGATAAATGGTTTAAAACTTGAAAAAAAATTAATTGATCAAAAATATGAAGTACTTGAAATTCTTAGTAAGCATATATTGATTTACTTATATTTAAATAATAAATTATTAACTTATGTAAATTATTTTTAATTTTAGATAAAGCTCTTGTGTTTAATAATTCAGATGAAGAAATTATGACATTGTTCTCTAGTACAGCATCCAAAGTTGTTGTTAAGAATTTTAAACAATTGGATGAAGATGATTTAAGTAAACAATTTTTTAATAGATAATATAATTTATTTAAATAGTAATAAGTAATAACCCTGAAAAGGCTATCTACTATTCCATTCTCATTGCAACAAAACTTTATCAGGCCCATGATTAAAAATTTGGTTGGTCTTTTTTTATATCAGCAATGGTTAAAATAAGTACAAAATTAATATAGTAATAGATTCTTTGAGATTTTTATCTCATTAAAAATCTTTATTTCTATTATTTTTTACGTGTGTATAACAACTATATAACCATAAAATACTTAATAGATTTAATCTATACAATGGTGCCTTAAATCATTTAAACATAAGAGTAGACCATCTTAATCTATGCTCAAAAAACGATATTCATATACATTTTTACTGTTGGTTATTGTTTTGAGAAGTTTTTACTATAGGCTGTTTTCTATGTGTATGTTAACATTCACTAGATGATTTTCAGCATTCATCAACTGCAGACATTTGCAGTTACATATACACTGTATATACTCGGATTTTGTGGCACTGATTCCTTTAAATATATAGTAGTATATATAAGCAAATCTAATGTAAGACGAGAGATGTATAAAATATGCGTATCATTGATTATAGAATAGACTATAATATTTTATAATCAATGGTATGAGTCAAGAGTTATGATATTAATAAAATTGTATTATTTATATTGTTAATCAATAAATACCTTTAATTAATTGTTTTTATTATAGCTAACAAATGTTTAACACATATGTATTTTAAATTATTCTTTCAAATTTAAATAAAAATTTAGAAAATATATTGTTATGTTAAAAATCAAGGGATAAAATATTTTTAGATGAACAAAGTATCCTAAGTTTTGACATAGTTTAACAAAATTATCATTTCTATCTTTTAAATAGAAAAATATGTTTTAAGATTTTTTTATATTATAGATGCTGTAAAGATCCTGTTGAACGAAATTATAGAATCATTGAAACTACTTGATTATGAAAATAAAATTAATGCACGTATTCAATTAAAAGATTCACTGGTTAAAGTAGCTACGTTAACTAAAGAATTAGATAAATTAAAATTGAAGTAAGAATTAACTATTTGCATTTAAATATTTCCATTATCAATCATGTTTAAATAAAAATTAAATCAATATCCTTATGTTATTCAATTAATTGAACCTATTTATTATGTTAAAAGGTGTGAAGAGCTATTTGATGAACAAGATAGTTTGCTAAATTATAATAAATCATATAAGATATTAAAAAATCAATTTGGAGAAAATCCTGACTCAAATTTACTTCCAACAAAAAGTAACTTAGCAGAAGAAGTTGAAAATGTATTAAATGAAATAGAATGGTAAATTAATTAATTTGTACTAAATGTATACTATAGATCTAAAATTAAAATATTAAATTGTTTTCTATTTTATTATATATCTGAATTATTACTTAAGATTTATTATTGTAAATTAAATAATTAAATACCTTGGCATTTATTTTTAACTATTAAATTAATAATAAACTATTTATCTATTCAATTTAAATTCTATTGTTATTAATTACAAAAAAGTGTTACCAAATAGTGTATAAACAATTTTTTATTTTTTTATTATATAATATTTTATCATTACTGAAACATGATAATACATATTTTATCAAAACTTAGAACAAGATATTTTGTAATCACAACTGTTGTTTTTCGTACAAATTAATTGAATTAATTGTTTTTTTAACCCTAATATAATTTTACTTTAATCTGTCTCTATGATACAGATCAGTGATTCAAGTAGAGATTCTCAATAATAAAAATAATTTAGTTGTACACATTATGTTGTTCACAAAAATGTTTACTTTTATTTCACATCATTGGGTACAACCAATATAAAAGCGGGTAGTGAACTAATAACTGGTATGTGGTAATAAAGCTCATATGATTATTTAAGATGAACTTTGATCAAAAATTAACATTATATATACATAATTAATTACTGAATGACTAGATGTTACATAATATTGAAAATTGTTACATTTTGTATTGATACATGTAATAAGTTACTTTTACCAATACTTTTCACATATTAGTTTATCATGTAGAATTTATATACTTTGTATTGACGTTAACACTAGAAAATTGGAAAAACATTAGAATGAAGAATTAATGAATTTAGATTTAGATCAGCAGTTTTTAACCTGTGGTCTGTGGGGTAGCATTAACATGTAACATGTTTAAATACATGATGTATTATAAAAAAAAGGTTTTGAAATTCAAAAAATGATGAAGAAAATTTAAACAATCTTTTATTCCATAAACTATTATTTTTATACACAATTAAATTTATATATTTTGATTAATTTTAAGATACACAATAATTACTTAAAAAAATGTTTTCTTGATTAAAAAATACAAATTTAATTGTTTCTATTTCCTTATATTAATAGAAGAATATTTCAGTATATAAATACTAAATCCTGAATATCACTTTGTTCCATATTTATTTTAAGCCTTTAATTTACCTTTACCATAAATTTGTAGCATAAATTATTTTTTAAGTTTGCAAAAAAAAAATTGAGTTGGTTGTACTACAGTAAAAAATGCATTTTTTGATTACTATATATTATACGATATATAATAATCAAAATAATTTCAAACAAATTATGGTCATGGATCTTTGTATTTGTGAATCAATAATTTAATCTAGCATTTTTCTTATCATATAGTTCAAAATTCCTCCATGTTTATGGTATAATATATCCACTTCAGTATCAAAACGCAAAATGGCATTGAATGTGACACCCGTGTTGGTCTAAAAAAATAAAATAAATAATTTAGCTACAAAATAAATTACCAGAAAATTGTTTTAATTTATTATTTACTTTCACTTGGATTTCTTGTAATGGTTTGCAGTCTTGTGGAATGTCTATATCATATATTTCATGACCAGTAAGTTTTAATGTTTCAGCGTTTTCTCCAAAACGGAATTGCAATGGAATTATTCCCATACCAACCAAGTTGGATCGATGAATACGTTCATAAGACTCAGCAATCACAGCTTTAATTCCCTATTAACAATAAAAACCATATTTTTAAACTAAACATGTTTTTATCATAAATCATAAGCAATGTATACAAGACAGTATAAATTACAAAAAAATATTACCAATAAAAACGGTCCCTTTGCTGCCCAATCTCTTGATGAACCTGATCCATAATCTTTACCAACAATAGCAATGAGCGGTCTTCCATCTTTAGCATACATTTGAGCCGCGTCAAAGACATCCAACTAAAAAGAAAACATAAATGCTAACTAGCTTGGCAAAAACATTAGATTAAAACTATGTATACCTCTTGTCCGCTAGGAATATGCAATGTTTTTGGTCCAGTGTTCTTCACCAATTTATTTACTAATCTTATGTTAGCAAACGTCCCTCTAGCCATAATATCATCATTTCCACGTCTTGAGCCATAAGAATTGAAGTCTTTAGGAGTAATACTAAAAAAAATTTGATTGAGGTTTTCAATTATTGAAATTAATAAAATGCTTAGACTCACTTTCTTGAAGCTAAATAACGAGCTGCAGAACTGTTTCTTGCAATACTACCAGCAGGACTAATGTGATCAGTAGTTACAGAATCACCAAGAAACAGTAATACATGTGCCCCTTTCACTGATTGAACACCAGGTAATGTCTAAACAAGAAATATTTGTATTAAAATTATGATACTATCTACACTGTTTATTATGACATGGTTTATACTTTTGTCATGCCATTGAAAAATGGAGGATTTTTTATGTAAGTAGATGATACATCCCATGGGTATAATTGGCCATCTGGAGCTTGTAAACATTGCCAAGCATTAGAACCATTTTCAATGCGAGCATAGACATCTTGGAACATTGCAGGAATTACAGTTTGTTTTTCAACAGTTTGGATAAGTGATCTAGATGGCCAAATATTTTTCAAAAACACTGGTTTACCATTTTTATCATTACCTAAAAATGAATTAACATTAATCATTAAAACGTTACAACAATGTGTACTTTACTAAATTAAATATAAAATAAAAAATATTTTTTTAAACAGTTATGACTTGTGACACAACATAAATCAATAATTAATATAGCTATCTTCTATAAGTAAATAAATTATATGTAACATCAGTTTTAGCATCTTATGTTTTTTGTGGTTTTAAACCAAGTGTAGAAGTTCAGTTACTAGGTATGAACTTCCATATCTAATTATTGTTTTAAATATATGAAAACAAAATTATTTTTAAAAAATGTATTCAAAAACCGAATTGTTTTTTTCAAATTCTAGGTAAACATAATTTATTGAATTGAAAACGTTGAATATTTGTCCTACACGACCTAGTAAAAAGTTAACAAAAATCTTTTAACAATTTCTATTAGTAGATAAGTAAATTTGAGAAAAATTTTGTGGATCGTTTAGAATTGAAATATTTTAAAATTGTATGCAATTTTAGCTCCAACATATTAACGTAGGTCTTTAATTTATACACATACATTCCAAATATAATAAATAACCAATATTCAAAATGCTCTACTCCGTTAGTTTTAAACGGTTATTAATTAAAGAGTTTGATTTTTTTTAAATGATATGGTTATATGAAAAGGGGAGTCTGAGAATTCTAGAGGTGGGAATCGGTAAAAAAGCCGATTTAAATTTTTTCAGAAAAAGTCAAACGTGAAAATTATTATACGGAAAAAAGTCTGGTTTGATTCTTTTCAGAAAAAAATGTCCAAATTATAAATTCAGATTTTGAGCAAGCTACTATAAATGCCGCCCAGTGTATTATCGGTGAACACGTCCGTATTCAAGGTTGCTTTTATCATTTATTTTAAAATACGTATCGAAATATAAAACAGATGATACATTAAGCCATTTTTTTTGCTATGTAGACGGGTTAGAATTTTTGCCAATAAATAAAATTTACGAAGGAATGAAATATTTAAGGACGGTTTGTACAAAAGAAGCTACAGAGGTTCTTGATTATTTCGATTCCACATACATTAATGGAACACAAAGAAAGTCAAGAAAAGGTATGAATACAAAATTTAAAATTAATAAACCGTTATTTTCATTAGAAATATGGAACGTTCATAAGACTACAATAAACAGTCAACATCGTACAAACAATATTTGCGAGAGTTGGAACAACCGTTTTACGCATCTTGTCGGACACGCGCACTCAACCATCTGGAAGTTAATTTCTAAATGCACGAAGAGATAAGAGTAGATAGAGCTAAAATAGCGTTACAAGAATTAGGTGAAGGAATTCCAGCACCAAAAAAATGAAAGTTTGGTAAAACCGGTGAACATTTAAAAAACTTATGTTCTAGAATAGCCATTAACGAAATATCGGTGGAAGAATTTTTAATTAATATTGGCCATTGTATTCGAAAACGAAATAAATATTAGTTTTAATTATTAATAGTTATATATTATATTACATTATTTTATTTTATTCCATTATAATACAATATTTACATTACATAATATTTTATATTATTAATAATGAATTATTTTTTAATATTATTATCAATTTTAAATTATATTTATATTTATTAATAAATCAAGATATTTTCTTCCAAAAAGAATCAAACCATTTTTACATTTTTTTCGTATAATAATTTTCACGTCGGACTTTTATCCGAGATTCTTCGAGAGGTATGTATTTTCTCGTAATTCATTAATTAATGAGAACAATAAGGAGGATGGTACTTCAAATAATAACAATACCCACACTTATTTTCGGAGTCTCTATTATCAGGTATTGGCGTTACGTTTTAAGTCGAAAAAACTTATCCCTTACCTATAGGTTCAGTTTCAAAGTCGATGTCCATACGTCCGGCGATTGCGTACGCAATAACTAACAACGGTGAAGCCAAATAGTTGGCACGGGTATTTGGATGGATGCGGCCTTCGAAGTTCCGGTTACCGGATAAAACTCCACAACAAACTAATTCATTCTGAATTACAAAACGAACAAAATATTCAATTACAATATTAATTATTTTTAATGTGAAAATAATAAATTTAAGTGTTACAGTTTTTTTTTTAAGCTTAAGACACTAATTATTTTGAACTATTAAAACTGACCAAACTGGTCATTAAAAAAATTATATTTTAAATTTTTTTATCGTTACATTTATTTAACCTTCTTGATGGTGAAACATTTTAATTTTAAATTCCTAAGCAGACAATTTTTTTCAAAAATATTTTAGTGTATATAGAAATTGAAATTGTAATGAGGACTTTAATAAGTATTTAAAGTTCGATGAACGGACTAATACGAATGTAGTATTGAAGTAGTTACAGAACTATAGGTCTTTAGGAGTATCCCGCAAAATGTTGGTCCTCTACAGTCTACACTATTTATCAAAACTTTAAATAGTACTTGACACAATGACACTTGTAGTTATGAGTGACTTATAAGTTATAACTAATACCTAGTAATATTAACTACTAATGAAATACTTTATGTTTATAGGTCACATTTTTATCATACTATAGTATACTTACTATTGCAGACTGTAGTTGTGACCTGTGTTCGTGCTGCCTATCAAAGTACCAAGTCTTCCCGGCCTTTTTTACGATTTTTGTTAAAATATATTTAGTTACCTTAAACCCAAATGGCCAGTGGCCACCACCAACCGTCAAAATATAATCTAAGCACCAAAAATAATTATAGTATAATTTGATGCAACTATGTAAAATATTGAACGAAAAGTTTTTAAAGTATTTAAAGTTTTTTTTTGTTTGAGCATTAATAAGAATAAGATGTCGGGAGAAAAAAATGTCATAAAAACTCGTGTCGTGTCGTGTCCTGCAAAATGTGTAACAATGTAACTTTCATTTAAAATTTTACCTTATTAATCAAAGAAAAGAATAAATTATTTATAATATTTAAGCATTAAAGTGTTTAAAAAAGTATCATGTTATAGCAAATTATGAGATTAAAAATACCCACAATTAATAATTAAGATATGAATGTCTGACTTTTTTCAAATCGGACTCATTGTTAGATTAGCAATAGCCAAATTATGCCACTGATGAGTAAATTGAAAAAAATTAATCAAATTGTAAATATTTATATAATGTAACAGCGTTATATAAATATATTATGATGATGTGTAATAATCAAATGATATTTTAAAATATAACAAATTTACAAATAACCAACGACATAAAATATAAATAGACAGATACATTATTATATTATTCTATTGAATTTAATTAAATATATTTTACATTTATATTTTATTATATTATTAATCATCAGTCAAAAATAAAAAATATATTCATTTTTAAGCTATATAATTTTTACTAAAATTCCTCTAGAGTATCATTAATCATATTCCTTAATCATTTTAATTATTAGCCATTGCACTAAATGTATTAGATTTATATTCAACTATTCAACTTACCGACTCAATAGCGTTTACGACGGGTTCAGGCAAAGGTCCAGAATTTCCGATACATGTCATACAACCGAATCCAACGGTGTCAAAACCAAGTGCTGTCAAGGCTGGGGTAACTCCACTTTCTCGCAAATAATAAGTGACTACTCCTGAGCCAGGCGAAAGACTAGTTTTGATATATGGCGCCACAGACAAGCCGGCTTCTACAGCATTTTTAGCCAAAAGACCTAGAAAACAACAATTTGAAAATGATTGAAATCATTTTTTAATGCAAAATTTGTTATTTATTTTATTTACCAGCTCCAAGCATTACACTAGGATTGCTTGTATTTGTACACGAAGTAATGGCAGCAATGACAACAGATCCATGTCTTAATGTATATTTTTGATTATTGAATTCGAATTCACAACTGGCATTCAATTTGTCAGGACTAATATTAAATCCTTTAAATCCAATCTAAAAATAAATTTAAAAATATTTTTTCACAAACATTTACAATCATAATATATATATATTTTTTTAATAATTTAATTGTATACAACAAATTTTGTCACTCAAAAATATATTACATATTGTAATTTGTAGTAATACGTAACATAATTAAAAAAAAAAACCAAAATAATAAGCTGTTAAATAATTTGTATTTATTTATATATTAAAATGTACTGAGTATAACATATTATATAATAATACCTAAATAATATAATTTGGAAAAAGTTTTAAATAGCAAGTAGTTACATAATATCATTATTAACGGTTAGGCAGCGAGTAAATACAATTAAATTTCTCACAACATTAATTGTTATAATTTAATATTCAAAATATTCAAAAGAAATGTAAGTTTTTAAAATTAAATTTAAATCAATAGTAAATCATATATATATTTTTTATTTGAAATTAAATGTTTCAGAATATTGAATACAATTATTTATCATACAAATCATGTTTAAAAAATAGTATCTATTTTCTATACCACATGGTAAAATGAAACTATTTAAATAACAAATATCAATAAGTTATGACATAATAATTTGTCAAAATTTAAAATCTAATATCTAAATTTAATATATTATTTAAAAATAAATTACTTTTGAAATTCATAGAAAATATTTTTCAATTATTAAATCTTTTCTGATAACAAAGGTAATGTTAATATCAGAGAACAATTTAACATTCCGTATTAATATGTTATAATACCTGGACTTCATTTAGGTGTATAAAAATAATAGTTAGCTGACCACACCTTAAATTAAAAACCTATTTATTTTGGATACCTATCGCATATGTCAGTACTAGGAATTTGTGAAATTATAACAAGTCTGTATTTGTGGGATTCGTATTTTGATACCGAAAATATCTTCAAAGCAGACAAAGACCAAGACCTTGAATAACAGATGTGTTTATGAGTGATCATTGTAGGACGTCAGAGGGAAGGCCAAGAGGCAAAAGAATTAATAAATTTATATTTTTCATTTTATACATGTTCTGACATATTGCATAGAAGTCATAGAACTAACAAAACAATTTCCGAAAATTTAAGTGATTTCACCCGATGTCTAAATAATACTATTATTATATCCAAATGGAGTTTTTATTTACAAGCTAATATAAGAATTATAGAAATAATGTTAAATGTGATAAAAACGTCTAATGTCTAAATTTTTTTTTGAATACCATTGATAGTTATAATAACATAAAGATGTACCTAAATATTAAATAAATTACAATAATGTAAACCTAACTGAAATTCCAAGAGAAATTCTTAGGTCCGCGTCAACTGGTATAATATGGGGTGATGTAGAACTCCTACCAACTTGTTGCCTTTTTTTTTTTTTAATGTACCTAACCGATAAGGTAACATAAAAATACGCACTGCAGGACAGTTTTGAGATGTAGAAACTGTCTCGAATACAATTTATGGTTTTAGAGCACAATATTCTAAAAAAAAAATCTCCAACCAACAAAATTAATAATATTCATCCTATGTCCTGTTGTAACCACTTATTGGTGTTCATGAGGTGAATGTGTTCCAAAATCCCAACGGAATAACAAAACATACCAAATAAAAAACCACTATAATATTATGTTATAACACCTAGGTGTTATAAAATAATATAAAAATTGATGGTATTCGTAAACGAATTTCTGAGAAATATAGCCATCCGTTCAATATAGATGTCGAGAAAACCAATTGCTAAGAAATATACATTTACATTCACATACAATTCTCGATTAAAGTATAGAGATTATAATATAGAAATATTAATAATTATAGACTTATTGTTGGATTCTATATAATATTCACACTAATGAGAAATGAGTAATGACACTATTATAATATGAATATCACAACTATCATTATTGACATTATTTTACGATAAGATGCTATTTTTGCTCGAATTCTATAAGAAATACAACAATAATTATTAAAATGTCTTATTATTATGAATATTGATTGATCATAAACATAATATTATTATTCATTATTCATACTATTATCACAGGTAGGTACATAAATAATATTTGTAATATATTTATTTTTAATAGTTCGTATCAAATAATACACATGGAAATAGAATAATATTATAATTATTACATCAACGATCCAATTATTTCTTGATCATATTATTATCAATAATTAATAAATGGAGTACATTTTTTTTTTTCAAACATAAAATTAATCAAAAATATAATTACGCATGATATTAAATATAGATCTTAAATTTTAAATCGCGGTATTACGATTTTAACGATATTAACGGAGATTTTGATATTTCAAAATCGATTATTATTTATTATTAAAATACTACAATTTGATTATAAAACTTATTTGTTTAAGGTTTATTAACTTTCGAAATTTTTAAAAAAGAAATATTTTATACATGTAAACGTAATTTTTATAAAATATTCATACATGCTATCTTATTACTAATTCTCAATGAAAATAACTATACATTTCAAAATAAATGCAGTTTTTAATTATTGAATATTAAGTTTTTAACTTTTACTTGCTAAAATCGTGGAATGAATATGCGGTTATTTTTGAAAGACGCTAAAACAGTATTAAAAAAAAATTGTTTTAAATATTTTTTATAGACCAGTATACTTTAACTAATGGCCAACAGAATTCAGTAAAACTATAAAACAATACATTATACATAATTTACCTATAAAGTCTCTAATCCACACCGAGGTGATCAACTGATAGATATAATATAAATTGTTTTGAAACAGTTTTTATGGAAACTAGAAAGTATACAATTTTGAATAAGTACATTTAGAAGAAATATTTGGACTATTATAAATTATTTATATATTATAAGTTAAAACGTTATTTACTAATACTAGATTTTAATATATACGAATTACCTATGGAAATAATTTATAAACTATGTTAATTCGAAAAAGTTCTGTTTACAATTACGTATTATAATCATAATAATCTAAAATATTAGTTAATGTACCTAAATAAAATACGAGTATAAATAAAATCACGAAACATTTTTAAATTATTTTAACTGATTATTGTATTGAATTTTTCGTCATGTTTGTTATTATTTTATAAATCACGTTTAAGAAACGAAAACATTCAATAGTATCGTGAAAAATACTGAAATGTTTTTATTCGTTTACCTGGATATTTTATCAGAGATGTTTACAGTCAGAAAATAATAATAGATCCATTATTTTGTTTAATGTGATGGAACAACGACCATTATGCCCGATTATGGTACATCGTATATGAAGAGTTTAAAGAAATCTCACATGTTTACTCCCTGACAGATACGACTATACGAGATAAAATAAGTATAAAAGGTAGAGAAAAATTAGAAACACACAAAAGCAAAAACCGGGGTGGTAAAAATTATTTCTTATGTTTAGCAGGTAGTATTTTTGACCATGGTTGTGGATTCTTCCGTCTTCGACCATCACATACAATAGATATTATTTACAATAAATGTGTAACTATATATTATGAAATATTTTGGGCCCAAAGGACAGCGTGCCAGTTTGTGTTCACTGTTCAGTAGTATATCGTCATTCGTCACAAACACACAAGACACATATCACATCTGGATCTTCATCATTGTAGCAAATCCTCTTCAAAAGATATCTCTATCGGCTGTTACACTATACTATGTTCTACCAAGGTCAGTTTAAATCAATCAATATTAATATTATTTAATATTCATCATGTATGTCGTAATTCGTCATATTATATCTCATACAGTCCTATTCTATTATACAATATTGAATGTATTATTTTGTAATTTTTTTTCGTAAACGAACACTGTCGTTTTATAGTATATTTTTCAGTAACATGTGACAATTAAATTTGTGACTAGAATTATATACTATTAATCTGTAGTGGTGATTAGCGACGATAAGCTTAATTTATAAAAGTTTTTATTTTTATAACTACTTATTCCGCTATTAGATATAATATAATGGTTTAAATATATTAATATGAACTAAGAAATTATAATGATGTTATGGTCGTAATTCATAAGCAAAATAATGCATATTTTAATTTTTAATTCATTATTATTATTAACGGTCAATTCATAAAATGGGTTGGAAACAGATAACATTGTATTCTTAATATATTTTAATTAAAACAAACAATAAATTGTCAATTATAGTTATCGGTGTTATGTATTGGTTGATCACGTTTACATTAATTGTATTTACAGCACATGGGGTATACATTTATTTTGATAGTCTAAACATAATTATAGTGCTGAATGCTAATAGTAAATTGCACTATAGATGCTTGCTACCAAAATTGTACTACAATATGCAATTAAAGCTTAAATACTATCAGGTAACAGATTTGTTTTGTGAGTGAGAAATTTAAAACTTCCCAGACGAACTCTGTTACCCTATAGTTTCAAGCAATAGGTACGTTAATTTCTTAAATATTTTAGTATTAATTGAGATTTGAACGTAATTGAATTAATGGTTGATACTATAAAAATCATTAAATTGTTGTTTTTAACCACGATTTTTAAATAATTTCTTTTGGTAACACGTTTCATCTTTAGTAATCCAGTTTTAAGTCTAAAGATGTCATTGTTACCTACGAAATTACTTAAATACACAACAAACGAAATGAATAAACACGACCTAGTTAAGTATATTTTATGATTTCAAAATAATCGTATAGTAAATTTAAAAGAGTAATAGTTATAAGTAACTCATCACCTCTCCATAAAATATTACATTAAATAATATAATGTCATTGATACTCAAAACTAGTTGTTACATAGAAAGTTTATAAGTATTATAAGGATTTTTGATAAAATGATATTATAGTTATATTTTTCTCTCTCAAAAATGATAAACTTAAAATGTATTTCTGGAAGAATAAATATTACAAGGTGGCTTAATCCAAAATGATTTTGAAAATTGTATTTACTATTCTACATTTAAAGTCAACTCTTCAAATAAAAAAT